TCTCCCCGTCATTAACGGGCCGCTACTTCACCGTGGGCCTGGTCACCTCCTTGTACTCCTCCAACATCAGCGTCCTCCTCCTCAACAAGTACCTCCTCTCTAATTATGGCTTCAAGTACCCAATTTTCCTCATGATGTGTCACATGACCGCCTGCTCCCTCCTCGGCTACGTAGCCATCGCTTGGCTCAAGATTGTCCCGATGCAGACCATCAGATCTAGGCTCCAGTTCCTCAAGATCGCTGCTTTGAGCCTCGTCTTCTGCGGATCTGTGGTCAGCGGGAACATCTCGCTGAGGTACCTGATAGGATGTTAATTCGAGCAACTTTTTAGTTAATTGTTGCCCTCTAAAGTTTCCTGTTATATCATAATATATAATCATGATTTTCTGCCTTGCTTTTAATTTGTGTTGAGTTTGCTTTATTTTGTTTTTTTACTGGTTTAACAATTGAGTGGAACCAAAATAGGTCATTGCAGGAGTTATGCACTTCCTTAATCTCCGGATTCCTCCATATATCCGTGTTGATTTTGTCCAGATCAGTTTTTCACACTCACCAAAAAGTAAGATTAACTGCTTTCATCTGAATTCTATTTCATTTTTTTCCAGCTGTATATATTTGTGCACTGGCATTAATGGTCCCATAAGTAGCATAAGGAAATTTGCACATGTGTGCTGGCGTCAATCAATAAATAGATTCATAGGGAGCAATCCATTTGCTGCTGCATTATCTTCCATCTGAAACTGTTCATTTAGTTAAAATATATAGTAGTGCACCAAGAAAGAATTTGATCATCTCCGAAATCAAACTATGATTAAAAAAAAGATGAGATTTTAATTTTGGAATCACCAACATGACTAAGCCTAGCTTTTGATTAGCTCCCTATTTAACTTGGCTAAACTTGTAGTAATAGGTATGTGGTGTTCTGGTAAAATTAATCATTCAACAAAAATTGGCACAAGGTAATGGCATAGATCTGTGATGTACTCATGCAATTGTCATGTACTGTATTCAAAGCTATGAGCGCCATGACTTCTATGAAAAACGATTGCTAATGTTTTAAGAGGGATTACATTCCATAAGCGATTCTAAATAGACATAGAGGAACTGTCATCACGCAAGTATGTTAGCACTTATTGTCCCTGCGCATGTAGCTATTAGATAATTTTGCAATTTCTTAGTTTATTGTACATTTTCAGCTAAAGTTGATCCTCAAATTGGCTATATTGTCATCGTGTAATCCATTTATAAACACCCCAACTTCCCTTCTTCCATTGGATAGTAATGAAGAAAACTAGTTTATATTACTGTTTGTCGCATAGCAGTTGTTCGTTTGCAATGCAGAGAAAACTTATTTGAAATGGATTCTCAAGATACAAAGTATACATGGCCCTAGCGCTCCTCTGCCTTTTCTCAAATTCATTGAGGTACAAATATTTGTATCCTTTAACTGGGAAAAAAAATAAACTGTATTTGCTAACAAGAATGTCTAATGACTTGATTGTTTTTCTCATATAATTTATTTATATATGCATTTTGCTCATGCCAGTGGTAGATTGAAGCACATTCATGCCAGTGGTATAATTTATTCATGTATTTGCTAACAAGAACTGAAACAAGCTAACTTAGCAAATAATGGCTAAAAGATGCTGATTTAGCTAATGTGTTTGTTGTATGATTTGACATTTGAGTGTGCAATCATTCACTGAAATCTTTAGTTGGGTATTCATTTTGTATATACAAACCGAGGTAGTCGAATAGAAGAATTTTGGTTTTGTTTTCCGTTTATTGTATATCCTCTATCTGTGGTTTTAATTTTTGTTTCCCACGTTTCACAGGTGTTTATCTGTTAACAGAAGTGTTGGTCATTGGAGAATTTAGGTGAGCTTTGTTGCTGTGTATTTTGGATCTCAATGCATTAGTGTGCATTCATGTGTTTTGATGATGTTCTACTTTTTATTGATTGGTTCTTTTACATGGGGATATTATATAATTGTCCATAAAAATATGTATCCTTTTGGAAATATGATATAATCTTTCACTAAATTATGGCTTCACTTTGTATTATCATTTATGTGCATCATGATAATTCAAAACATGCTTGGGTTGGGTTTCTGCGATGCTACTAAAATGGTGATACATATACTTGCATTGACAGGCTGTATTGATCTTGGATTAATTGCATTCATTAACTGCATTGACAGGCTGTATTGATCTTGGATTAATTGCATTCATTAATTGCATTGACAGGCTATATTTGTGGATTAGTTGTTAAAAATGTATTTCTTTACTAGATGCAAATACCAGAGGACGTTCTTGTTGCGAACCACTTTGTTTTTCATGTGGCTGGAGCATTTGGAGCAGCTTTGAATGTGTTAAATCAGAATGGGTAAGTTCTCTTTTAGTTACTTACATTTATTATTTTGAATAACTGTAAGTTTGAGGCTCTTCAGCAAGTTTGAAGCTCCTCTCTCATCATCAAGCAATGAAGTGGGAAATGAAGTTGGGAGGCAAGAAGGTGAAGAAGGAGAAGAAGAGGGCTTGAGTAAATGTATAGGGAAGGAGCTTCTATAGTGTCATAGTCATTGTAAATAATTTATGTAAAAGTTTGTAAACAATTTATGTATCTCTCTACTATTTTGGTGAATGTATGTAAGACCCCGTAGATTTTGATAATTCATATATGTGACTATTAGTGAAAAATAATATTTATTTATGATAAATATCTTTATGACATGGTTGTGCATGAAATCTAGCATTTTTGAGCTTATGAGGATGTATATATATATATATATATATATATATATATATATATATATATATGCATCAGAGTCGAAGAACTCAGTTTTCAGCTCATGAGTCGACCAATGACTGTCATGAGTCAAATCATGATATCATCTCCCTTTGTCATAAGTCTTTGCTGAGTCGACTCATTATCTTATGAGTCGGCCCATGAGTCATGAGTCGACTCATCGGGGGTTTTCTGAGTTTTGTGGGTCGGGTTTGTTTGGGTTTCAGGTCAGGTTTTAACTGTTCATATATATTCTCCTCCACCAAAAAACACCTCTTTTCATCAGTTCTCCCCAGAGAAACCCTAGCCTCCTCTCCCATTCAAAACCCTAGTTCGTTTTTGGGCATTTTGGGAGATTTTCGGGGGATTTCAGCAGCTTCTTTTGGATTGCAGCGAAGGGGATCGCTCTTCATCACATCTGAGGCGAGTAACATCTCGCCCAATCCTTCTCCCATGTTTTCAATAGTTTACAAACGTTTTTCATGAGTTTTACTGAGCCTATGACTTATTTTCAAGTATAAATCAATGTTCTTATTAGGGTGAATGCTAGAAATAATGCGTTTCAGATTTGAAATCCTCACCAACGAGTTTTTGATAAAAACTCAGATCTGGAAATTTATTTAAGAATGACAAATATGAGTTTTTATTTTGATTAAATGCTTTCACTCATGTTTAGGAGTTAAAAGTTAGGTCTAACATGCTAATGTTCGTTTCTCATGCTATATATGAATTTATCACTGCCTCATAGTCTAGAATTGATAGTGATGGAGGTGAAGATCAGTATAGAGGGAGTACGGAACGAGATGGACGAGCTGCAGTTATGAAACATCCAGTTTTCAGCCCGTGAGTCGACTCATGACTCATCATGAGTCGACTCATAAGGTTGAGTCGACCCATGACTGTCATGAGTCGACTCACGAAGTCTTTTCCTGTTATCATAAGTTTCTGCTAAGTCGACTCGTAACTGATCATGAGTCAACCTATGAGACATGAGTCGACTCATAACTGAACACGAGTCGACTCATCGGAGTTTTTCCTATTTTGTTTGTATTTCTGCTTGATTACCTACTATGCTTATATTTTCATACAATGATCATATATGATCGAGGGTTCTGTTGAGCTTTGGTTGAACATGAGAATGTTGCCTTGTTTATCGGGTATTAAATTGAGTATTTATGATTTTATCTACACATGTAAAAATGACTTTTCTGACACAAGCTTAGATCTGTACAGCGAGGCATGTACAAGAGTAGAATATGTATACTCTTAGTATTCCATGATTCTTATACACAGTCCTCGTGTTGGACTATAATCCATTAAAGTCCTCGTGTTGGACTATAATCCATTAGAGTCCTCGTGTTGGACTATAATCCATTAAAGTCATTGTGTTGGACAATAATCCACTACAGTCTTATGTTAGATGATTGCTAAACCTTAAGTATGTTTCTTAACCGAGTTTGGAACACGATATATTATATGAGGCTGGGACGTGATAGCTACCTAGGCTGGACATGACACTTATTGTAGCTTTGACATGTTTAAATTGTATCGGTAGAGATGGGTTTGTTTTCTTTTCTTCATTTATTTCTTGTGTTAAGCCTCGGGTTTAGTATTTAGGGATTTACAATTTGAGATACAAGGTATATACATGAGGGTTTCCTTGTTTGGATTATTTTGCTCGACGTACCTATGCTTGTGTTGTAACTTCCTAAGTACTAAAACCTACTATTGTTAGTATAAATGATTTTAACTATTATGCAATAACTGTATGTTCTGTATACAACAAGCCCTTTCCCTTGGGGTTGGTTGCGATGTTGCTCGCTAGCGTTTTGACGCTCGTTTTTCCTCTCCCTTTCAGGTAACGAGCCATGAGCCCGGAGAGTTGCAGGTTGATGGCGATGCACTTTAGCTTCAGCCGTCTATTTAGTTATATTTTCTTTTGAGCTCCACTGTAGACTTTTGTGTAGACATTTGAGAGTTTTATTCTATAAATTGTAAAGGCTATGTGCCTTATTTCCTCTTGTCAGACATTTTGTATTTGAGACTTGTTGAGAACTCCAGTTCATTTATTTCAAACATTTACTTGTATTTTAGTATATTAGATGATGAAATATTAATTTGATCTCTATTATTTCATCAGTTGATTTTTGTATTATCTCTTACATGCTTTGTACCTACACCTGTTATTGACTCTACTAGAGAGATAGTAATTGTGATGGTGAAACATGTTATTGCACGGTGTGGTGCATGGCAGGTTTGACATTTTTGGTTTCACCTCGGACTGCAGCCTTGTGTGAACTCAGGGGCGTCACAGTTGGTATCATAGCTCTAGTTCTAGTATCCTTAGGATCATCCTGTGTCGAGTCGATGAGCTAGGTTAGAGTTTCTTAGGATTCATGTATAGAGTCCGCTAAGGATTTCCTAGTATGAGTGAGGACGGTATATGCGTACAACTCAAAATTTTGAGAATATTTTTTTTATGATAACTATTTTTGTTTAAAGTATATGTGTGAATACTATATGGTGTGAAAATCGTATTGTGATACATTATGTATGTATATATGTCTACTTTGACTTATGAACTCTTATTTTCTTATGATCAGAGAGAAATGGCAGGATGTGGTAGACCCCGTACTCACAGAGCCGTTCAGGCAGAGCCCCAGCAGGCTCCCCCTGAGCCATAGCAGGCTCTACCCGAGTGAGTAGGAGAAGGCACCACCTGAGCCGCAGCAGGCTCCCCAGTACCTCATTGATCTCATGGGTCCTACCATAGCTAGGATGGCAGCGATTGAGGAGCTTGTGGCGAGTCATATCGCGCCACCGACACCACCACCACCACCTCCAGTAGTTCCACCGCAGGGGATACCAGCCGTCCCAATCAGAGAGAGAGACCCAGAGGTAGCACCTGCACCTATTCCACCAGCGGTACCGGATAGAGCCACAGAGCAGGAGGCTTGGCTCCGCTTGGTAGAGAGGTACCAAAAGATGAGAGCACCGAAGTTCCAGGGCTCTTCAGACCCACTTGTAACCCACAAGTGGAAGGAGGATGTGATTAATGTCCTAGACATACTCAATGTAGACTCAGTTCAGAAGCAGAGACTGACATCATATAGTCTGAAGGGGGATGCCGGGAGATGGTACCGATTCCAGTTTCCATTAGAGCAGCGGATGATCCTCACTTGGGTGGATTTTGTTTACTTCTTTAATGCATAGTATGTTTCTTCTGCAGCACGGATTGGGAAGGAATTTGAGTTGTCTCGTTTGACTCAGGGGGACATGTCAGTTGCAGAGTTTGAGAGCAAGTTCATGGAGTTGCTGCATTTTACGAGGATGTGGCAGACATGAGAGCGTCGGGCTCAGATGTTCCTTGCAGGGCTTTGCCCTAATCTTCGCCGATACCTCATCTCGAGGAAGTTCTATTTAGTCCGGGAGGTAGCTTAGGCCGCCACCTCACAGGAGAATGAGACAGCTATGTTTCAAAAGGACAAGGAGGGAAAGACTAAGATAGGACAGATTGGAGACAAGGGGAAGAACAAGAGGCCCTCGACAGGACATCAGCAGCAGCAGCAGGGTCCTCATAAGAGGGGACCCCAACAAGATCAGAGGGCACATTATCAGCGCAAGTTTCAGGGTGTATGCTTTAACTGTCGCAAGGTGGGACACAAGGCGTCAGAGTGTCGTAGTGCACCAGCAGGAGCTCAGCAGGGCAGGGGTCCGAACCAGTAGCAGCCGCGATAGCAGGGCCGAGGTCAGGGTCAGCAGGTCAGGCTTGAGGCACCGCCAGCTGCGCAGAGGCCAGAGGGGCAGGTTCGAGCAGTTCAGGAGGCCCCTAGGGACAGATTGTCCCGTATTTTTCAGCACCAGCGGTAGAGCAGTCTTCAGCACCAGGCAGAGTATATGCAGTGGTTCCTCGTGATCATGGTGCCAGTGGTGCAGTTGTGGAGGGTACGTTCCTCGTGAATTCCTTTCCCGCCCGTATTCTTTTCGATTCGGGAGCTTCACAGTCTTTCATTTCGTATAATTACATGGATA